TCAACAGAGCAGTAGCTTACATCCTCTGCATTCAGAGATCTGAGAGGAACTTTCTCATTGCTGCTAAAGATACTCAGAATAGAGTATATTTCCCATCTTCCCTTGAAGCTTGGATGTCATTGTGATTGTGTTCCAGTCAATATAGTGTATGTGCAAGCCATATATACAATTTTCAGGAAGGGTCCTTTAAAAAGAGGGTTATTCCATCTCAGTTCTTTCTCCTCTCTTGCTGGCTGGAATGTGATGAGATGACTAGACCTACGCAGCTGTTTTGGACCATGAGACAGAAGCCATCTGTGGAGTATGATGAAGCTACAAAACAAAGCAAACTGAAGCCCCAATGATGATGAGATGCCTAGTTTCAATGGAGAAAGAAATAAACTTTGACTTGTCTAAATCTCAGCTTGTTTCTCTGTTCCTTGAAATAAAACTTAATTCTAACTGAAAAAAATCTAGATTTTTCTATGTAAAGTTTGAAGGTTAAAAGAGTAAATATTTCCCAGAGGATAAATCATAGCACTAAGAAAGTTTAATTACCTAGGGCTATTACTAGAAGGTAATATTTATTCCCTACGGTGAGGGTGGTAGTGGGTAGATCTCAGCTTCTTATTATTAGGAGGGTATCCCTCTTGGCAAGAAGAAGAGAAAGAAACCACTTATGTTCATCATAGGGAAGTCTTTGAAAATAGCATGCAAGAAAGCAGCTAACCACCCCACCCCCTTTCTGTGTGCCAGGCTAAGAACATCAGCCTCAGAGGTTAACGGGTTTGTCGAATGAAGGGACTAAGAAGGAAACTAGCTTGATTTTAATTGTCTGCTAAATCTGTTGAAAACTAACTTCCTTTAACGTAATTCTTTTTGAGGCTTTCAAAGATTGAGGACATGGTAAATTTTACCCTTTTCCAGACTTGTTATTGATTCACCCCAGAACCACGCTTTGGCCGTGCACCGTGGGGCAGGCACCTTCTGGTGGGTGTGGTGGTTCTCTCTGATGACTTTCAAAACATAAGTTTACTCACAAAAAATTTTTGGCTATATTAACTGTAGTGTTTTTAGCCCTCATGTGTATTTTCAATGTGTGGCATCTGAGGGCTAGCACGTCCCAAGTTTACTAAGTGTTGGCAAGTGGGGAGTCAGTGTGGAGGATGGGCCTAGAGACACACCCACCTTGTCTGGCCTTGACTCTGCCACTGAACTGCTTGTGTCACCTTGGGCAAGGGCTTGGTCTGTGAGACTGCTTCCTCACTGGCCCTGTGGAGTTAAAACAGTCCCTCACTTATGGGCTTGCTGTGAGGATTAATTTTAATAGAGCATGAACAGTCTCAGAGGCCCGGTCGAGGGCGGGGTTTGTGAACACACAGTAAGCATTAGCTATTGCTGTTAATATTGACACCCTATCCAGTCCCGTGTTGTCTGGCACCGTACCCACTGCTCACACACAGGCCTCACGCTCTGGAAGTGAGGCTGGTCCAAACTGGGCTGCACTGTGAGAATAACGTCCAGACTAGGTGTTCAAGACTTAGTATGAAAACAAGAATGTAAAATAGTTCCCTGATAGTTTAAAATTTTTTAAAGAAACTTTAGGTATATCATGTTAAATAAAATATATTATTGAAATTCATTTCACCTATTTCTTTTTCTTTTTAAATGTGGCCACTAGAAAATTTAAAGTTGCATGTATGGCTTGACCTCAGACAGGCTTTGGGTAGCCTGAGCCTCGGCAGATGGACGGGTGAGCAGCAAAGTGAAGCAGGAGCCCGTGGCCCCCTCGAGCAGCATCTGGTGGTTATCAGGGCCTGGGACAAAAAAGGCGGAGGTTTGGGAGAGGGAATCTACCTCCAGGGGCACTGTAGACACTGATACAATTCAGTTCCCCAGATACTGACTGAGGTCAAGGAGTGATCATCTGAGGAAGCTGCACTCAGTCCACGTGAGTCTAAAGACTGGCTGGGAAGCTGGGGACGCGGGCAGTGTCAGGCTGGAGAGGTGCAAGGCAGGACCCAGGGTGCAGCCTCAGGTTCCGGGTGGAGCACATCGTTGACAGAAAATCGAATGGCAGGGAGTTAGCAGAGGCCTCCACCAAGGGGGCAGCAGTTTAGGGGTAGGAAATCCACTTCTCAGGGGCACTGTTGGTACAAACACCATTCAGTCCACAGATATTTATGAGACCTTACTTTGTTCAACACCCTCAATTAGAAACTGGAAAAACAAAGTGCCTGGCTACAAGGTGCTCACAGTCTAGTGGAACAGATGGTGGAAGACAGGTGAACAAGTAACTGCAGCACAAGTGACAACCTGCTGTGCCCATTGCAGAGAGAGCAAATCCACTCTGCGGATAAGGAACAGTGTCCCAGAGAAAGCAGCATCTCGACTAGGCTGTGTGGGAAAGTTGGTGGGAAGGAGGGAGACGCGTGTTCAGGGTCAGGGAGCAGCAGAGTGCTGTGGCTCCCTCGGCTGCAAGAGGCCCAGTGCTGCTTCGGAGCAGAGTGAAAGGTGGGGGTGGCAGAAGCTGGAGGGAGGAGGAGAGGCCAGACTATGAGGGGAGTTTCACAGATGAAGGGATTTAAGGGCATGAGGTGGGGGCTTTAAAGCAGTTTAAGCAGAGGACTGACAAGCCACACTTGTGCTTTAGAAAGAGCTCTTTAATTACATTGTGGGGGGTCTGCTTCTGGGGAACATGAATTAAACACACCCCACCTTTCCTCTCCCACTGGAACTGGCTATAAAACCAGGACAGAATGCACAAGTAGTATTTGAGGACTCTGAAGGGTAAACAGTAGCAAGTGGATTGGGAAAGAGGGCCAGCATCTGAAGTGCCCCTAAACTGGTGGCGAGTTTACATTTTCCCCTCTGATATTTCCTAGACTCAGCACAGCCTGAATCCTGCAAATGGCATCAGCACAGAGACAAATCCAAGAGAAGCAGCCTGGGTCAGGTTCAAGGAGTGGGAGAGGGACCTTCTGATGCTAGAGAGAGGGGAAACACTGCCCCCCCAATACTTTTCCTTTTCTCCATTCTCTTGCATCCCAGCCCTTAAGCAAGTCTGAGGAGGCTGCAAAAGCAGTGATACTAAAGGGGACTCCAAAACTCTGAGGGTGGGAAACTTCCCTTCTAGCTGGAGGAGCCACAGGCCTGAGAGCATGGACTTTTCTTCCACCACTTAGTCCCAGACACAGACTCAGTTGCAGCAAGTGTGTGGCAGAACGAGTAACCGGTAAAGCCCCAGCCTTATGGCTGGAGACTGAAAAGAAGAGCCCCAGGGAACCAGACATTCTGGGGAAACCATGGAGAGGAAGGAGCTCAGGGAAGCAACCTCATAAAGTTGCATATGACCCCCAGGCTCACCCCTGCATTGAATAGCCTGGTTCTGACCCTAGATAGAGTGTCAGAGGCCTTGAGAACTGAACCATGCCAGAGACTGCAGTCCAGCACCCAGGCCACCCGCTGGGTGGCACGTTGTGGGACACATCTGAATAGCACTGCCAAAGCTTTGAGAATGGCTCTGACATTTAAACCACATGGACAGAAGGCTGGGCAGTACTGGCAGCCTGAACCCAACAATCTGCTAAAAAAAAAAGCAGTTTTCTTGCTTAAACACAAACATCAGCATTGTCCATAGGTTTTAAATAAATCCCTGTGTCCTGTAATATCCAAAATGCCCATGAAAGAACCCAGAATTACCTAGCATAGGAAGAACTGGGTGCACTCTAACTTGCATGGAAGAAGAACTGACAGGTGCCTGAGTGAAGGTGTCACAGATGTTGGAAGTGTCTGGCAAAGAATTGAATGCGGCAACAATAAGAGTGTTCCAAGAAGTAAGGGCAAATCCTCCCCAGATCAGTGGAGAGGTAGAAGTCTTAGCAAAAAATAGAAAATACTCAGTAGAAAAGAGAATCAAATGGGAATTTTAGAAGTGAAAAATATGATAACCAAAATTCATAAAACTGATTGGGCTCTATGGAGATGTAGAGGAAAGGGTCAGTGAACTAGTAGATAGACCAGTAGAATGATCCAATACGAGTAACAGAATGTTCTGCTCCTGACATTCAACATTGATTTTTACAGCCTGACAACAAGCTTTGGTAAAAGAAAGTAGTTTTCTAATATGTTTAGCTCCTGTTTAGCACCTTAAACCAAGCCTGAGGGACTTGGATGTTAGGGGTCTTGGCAAAGTGTGAAGGAGAGGCCTGTCTCAGTCAAGCAGCCTACTGCTCTGGGTAGAGGAAGGGAGAAAATCCATCCCCGCTTAAGCTGGGAGATGATGAGAGAAACAAAATAGTGAGAAAGAGGCAGGAGAGGTAGCTGCCTCTGGTTGGACAGGATGGAGAGTGTTAGAGGGTCAAGGTGTGTTGAGGCTGCCTGTTCCAGCTCGGGAGAGGTGATTATTAAAACTTCAGGAACTGTATAGGCTGGTTGTTACATATTGAGGTTGGACCTGGTGGGAATCTTTGTAAATACTTCAATCCCCTGGAGAACCTGTTGTTGAACTATTAGCGCACCCCTGGTGACAGGTAGATCCAAGAGAGGATGGCAGTGGGCAGAGGGTGGGCCTCTCCCCCGCCGAGCCATTGGAAGAGTGGGGGGAAAGCTGTGCAGGGACCTGTGCTAGCACAGGGGGAGGGGGTAGCACAGCAGGTGACGTGGCTGGGCGGAGAGTGCGTCTGGTTAACACTCTCAACCCTACCTTGTGTCCCACGTGGCACAAATGCTGAGCTGAAAGCCACTGTGTCAGCCCTGGGGCCCGCGGTGGTGAGGCGAGGGGCCCTTCATGGGGCCTGGCCGGGGCCAGAGGGCCAGAGGGCCAGAGGCGTGGGTGGAGGGAGCCTTCTCAGTGTTATGAATCTCAGGGGGGCCAAGAGCTTCGCTTTCTGTGTTTCTCTGATAAGAGATATTTTCCTGTCCCATTAAGAGAGTTTGAAACTGTTCCCAGCCTCTGTTAAAGGGACCAAAACCCTTACAAAGAACAAAGCTTTTTGAGAACAGTTTAAACAATGCCTCTGAACACACTTTTATTATAGCGTCAATGTCTGCCAAAATTTTAAGATCAAAGAATGCTGAATAGATTTATACAATGCTTTGCAAAAAAAAAAATTAGTGAATGCTTTACAAGAAACTTACATTTTTTGGAAGGGCATGTCCAGTATTAAATGTTCATGGTTCCATTGTTTTTTCCTTGCCCACTAAGAAAAATAGTTTCAAGATAAATTATTTTTTTACCTTTTAAAAATTAAAGAAATATTTTGGTAAAGTATATGTGACAAAGTTTACTTGTAAAACTGTTCTGAGGTTTCCAGTGGCACTGAGTGCGATCACTTTGTTGTGTAGCTGTCCGTGCTATTCGTCTCGAAGTGCTTCATCCCCTAAACTCACCTTTGTGTTTTTTTAAGATGCAAGTTTCGTCACAGACTTGAGGGTCCACATTTTTACGTTGACTGTATTTAGAATTGTTCTACTGTTCTGTATAGCTATCACATACTTGTTTGAATACAAGCAGTCAAAAATGACTCAGAGGAAAAAGGGAAGGGAAGAGGAAATATTTATCAAGCGCCACCAAACCCCAAGTGTTATATATTCCACACAACAATCTGTGAGGCAGAGACTCACAGATGTGAGAAGTCCCGTTTTACAGATGAGGAGCCTGAGGCACAGAAGAATCAAGCAGCTTGCCCAAGTTGGTACAACTGGGAAGTGATGGAGCTGAGACTCAACTCCCGTCGGTTTTGCAGTGGGACCATGCTCTCAGGTGTTGTAGACAACTTTCATCCCAAAGGAAAGAAGGAGAAAGGGGTTGGGTGAAATGTGAACTTTGGGACTGTTGGGCTGCTAGTTACTGAGAGATACTTCTAGCAAAGTGTGGCTTTTGCCTTGTTGGAAATTTTTAAGGACCAACAGTCAGCTCTTTTCCTGCCTCATGAATCCTTGGACTGAAAGGACCAATAAAGGACTTCTGTGATTCGTGTTCACATTAAAGTAGTCCCATTGTTGCCTGTCTTTATGAAATAGTGACACTGGGGACAAGATAAGGAAAGGGGCAAGTATAGGGAGCTAGTGGCAATGGAATTCCAGGCAGAGGGGTGGATGCCTGGGCCGGGCCGCTGCTCCTAGACATCCCTGTTTTGCTCAGAATATTATATCTGAGGTGGATGAGGCAAGTGCTGAAAAGGAAGCAGGTGGCTTCTTCATGGATACAGGGATGGGTGGACTTCGCCAGGGAAGTCTTATCCTCTCCAGAGATAAACTGGAAATGTAGGCTTCTGACTGTATTCTGAATACAGTCTAACTGAATTCTGCTGCTGTTCCTGGGGCCGCTTCTTAGGAAGGTGTAGTTAGAGTTATATTATGATATGATATTAACTAATTTTTGTCAGCCTCTGTAATAGATATTACATAATCTCCCAATGACAGGAAGATTTAACAGGCGAGGGGATGGAGGTCATGCTGCCCAGAGTGGGCAGGAGCAGGACCTCGGCTGAGGTCCCCCTGTGCTCCATGTCCATGCTCATTTCCACTGGACGGTCCAGCGTCTAGTGTTGAAGTCACACTCACGTGGGCACTACACTTGCCTCCACTCTGACTTTCCTGTGCCCTCTCATTAAGCCTCAGTCCTATAGTATTATGAACAATGGGAACTGTACTACCTACTTCCTTGGATTGCTGTGAGGATTAAGTAAAATTATCTACATGAGAACGTTGGCTAGATTGTAGGTACATGTTACAGGTTGAATTGTATCCCCCACCAGAAGACATATTGAAGTCCTAATTCCCTGTACCTAAGAATGTGACTTTATTTGGAAATACGGTCTTTTCAGCAATTATCAGATTAAAATGAGATGATTAGAGTAGGCCCAAATTTCATATGACTGATGTTCCTGTGAAGTTGGACACACAGACAGACCCGCACTGGGGGAAGGTGATGTGAAGATGGCCAGGGAGAGGCCGTGTGGAGACGGAGGTTTGCAGTGCTGTGCCCACTAGCCGAGGCATGTCTGGGGACACCAGAAGCTAGGAGAGGCAGCATGCAGTTGTTCCCTGGCAGCCTCAGAGGGAACATGGCCCTGTCACTACCCTGATTTTGGACCTCTGGCCTCCAGAACCATGAGACAATACATTTCTGTTGTTTGAAGACACTCAGTTTGTGATACTTTGTAACAGCAGGCCAACCAAACTAATACTGTGCACAATCAATGCTTTTTTTCTTCCCTAGACCATTCATTTCACCAAAATTCAAACCAGGAGTTGGAGATTTGTTCAAGGGTGAACGAAACCTTGCTTCTGCTCTCGGGATGCTCATGTCCCGAGAGGGCAGATGACAAGCAAACGACTGTGGCGGTAGAGTGTGGTTAGTGTCATGATTCAGTCTAGGCGAAGGGAGGCTGCTGGGGAGCCCCCGAGGGGGACCTTGACCCCAGCCTGAGCATCAGACAGGGACAGCTTCTTGGAGGGAGCGATATTCCAAAAATGATGTAATGGTGTTTCGGAGAAGAGCAAGGCTTTCATGGAGCAAGGTTGTTAATGACTTTTTTTGTTGTTCTAATGGAACATGCTCAGTTCCAAGTCGATATGAAAATATTCAGGGCAAAAACAAGATTAGAGAGAAGCCTGTGTGTCTGGTTCACTTAGCAGTTTTGACTCCAGAATAAATTTTAACTAAGGTGCTGTCTTGTGAAGTGGTTGGTTGGTAGGTAATGGTGAGTGGGAACTGAGGTAGGGCAGGGCAATAATGAGATCAGGGGTCATCAGTCAACAGGCAGAAACCAACGTCTTCCTGAGGCAGAATATTCCCCTTGGGCAGCTCTCTTTCTTCAACATGCACCATGCACCATGCAAAGCGTGACCTCGGCCACCGGGGACCGTTGCGTAGGGTGTGGACGGCGCGGAGGGAGACCGGGGCTGGAACGCAGCGTGCGCACACTTGCCAAGCACGTGTCTGGGCACGAGCATGTGTCTGCCCAGAGGACCAGCTCCCCTTTGCTCTGTGTGAAGGTGGCACCTTCTTGCCAAATAGTATGCCACTGGTTCTTGTTCCACTCAGAATTCTGGTTTCCAATTCACACAAAGGTGTCATCACCCCTAGTGCTGGTTCCAAGCATGGCTCTTGGTCTGGCTGTGTGACGAGGCATGACGAGGTTTCTGTGAAAATAAGTCTGTCGTGCATGTGGAGAGGCTGCCCCAGGAGTCCTTATCATACAGTTAGGGTCTGGATCCATGGGAGCTCCATCTCATCAGCTGAGTTACTGCCTGACCGTTAACCTGCCAGTCTGAACCTTTGCTGTATGGCTTTTGGCTCATCCTCCTGACGTTGAGATCATATCTGGTTTTGGTGGAGCTAGAGAGCAAAGGACACAAGAAAGCCAAAGCTGTTGGTTAATAAATCTGAGTTATACATATTGTCTGTATAGCTAGGACAATGTCCTTTAAAAATCTCATTCTTGTCATGTATAAAAATGTCTAGTACTTTGTAAAATACTCTGTGCTTGGGACTTCTCTTCTGGACCGCACTGCAGGTTTGCTGTGGGGAGGGTAACTGGCCATGCTGTGGGGGGTGAGGGCTGAGCTCCAGTCCAGAACATGAACAGACAATGGGCCTGGATCTTCTTCTCAGGAGGATGGTGAGGAAGGGACCCTGGTCACAGCAGGAGCAATACACCCTGCCCGTCTTGGAAGGAAAACCAATATCCTGGGGACAGTCCCAGGTTGCAGGTGGGTCCGAATGGGCATCCGGATGTCAGTGGGGAAGCAGAAGGAGGGGGGTGGCGCACTTGTGAGGGAATGGGCTTCCTGTTCTGCTGTGGGCCTGGGGCAGGAAAGTCCTGCTCTGCCGCACACCTGGAATTCCTTTTGTGTTGGCCTGCGGGTTCGTAGGGAGACACTCCACCAATGACAACTTAATAAATATCCCTGACTTACCACTCTTCTAGCATATTACAGAATCTCTTCAGATCTCTTCAGACTCGTCTCACATTCTCCGCCGGTTATTTCTGGGCCCCTGAGCCAGCTCCGGAGAAGTTCTGTCCTATTTCACTCTGCATCACGCTCCTCCCAGGCTGTGTGTTTAGGGAGGGGGAAGTGCGGTACCCAAGCCCAGGCCTGGTTCTCCTGCCCCTCTTTGTGCTGGGTCCCCCTTGGGTTATGAAACCAGCCAAGCTGTGCCACACCCTCTGCCCCCGTACTGCGTTGCCACCGAGGCCCCACGAAATGCTGCCGGTGCCCTGGAGTTCCTGTGAGTTCTGTGTAAAGTCAGCTCCTGGCTCAGCTCCTGGCTGCAGCTTCTCTCCCTTGGAGGCTTTGCCATGCATCCCAGTGGCTGGGTGCGGACACGAGACACCAGGTCCTCCTCTCTGCCACGTCTCTGCCCCCAGGAGCCCACCCACAAGGCGAAGCCAACGTCGTCATTTCCACCCCCAAAATATCCAGAAGACATGACGTGTGCTTGGCCAAAGTGAGGACTGACTTCCTTCTAAAGTTGTGCTGAATTTTAATTCCTCATTTTTAGGGCTGCTTCTCCAGCCGTGAAGGGTGCCTGGGAGCGAGGTCCCTGAGAGCACGAACAGGTGCCACTGGCTCTCAGCAATGACTTCAGTGTCCTATTCCTGATATTAACATTCTGGAAGCCTGAATATGGCTGTGAAACATCAAAGTCAGAACATAAAATATTGAACAATAAAATCCAATTAAAAATTGAACAACAGCAACACAACTGCAACCAGACTGTTGTTGTTGTTGTTCAACAACAATTTGTTCCAGCAAATAGTTGGTGCTCAACAAATATTTACAGAAGGAAGGAAGGGAGAAAAAAAAAGAAGGAAGGAAGGTGGAAGGAAGGAAGAAAGGAAAAAGGAAGCAAGGAAGGAAGGAAGGAAGGAAGGAAGGAAAGAAGGAAGGAAAAAAGAAAGTGAGAAAGCCAGATTATCCCAATCCATTCACCCAGGTGAGTTTGAGAGTGAGCGATCCAAGATTTATTTGTTGAAGAACATAGTGCAGTTCCTCCAAATAATGAAACTCAAATCATAGTCTTTTTCTTTTTTTGCTGTGCTCTCATTGGTGAATTTATCCAACCCCTTTTAGCCTATTTTGTTTTTAAGATTGTTTGCTACTTGACTTAAATTCTGCAAGCCCATAACTGAGACCATAAAGTGTTTTTATTCCATAGCCTCCAACCAAACAGTCAGGGCAGCCACTCAGCTAGAGTGAGCCTGGGATGGAGTCAGACAGATCTGAATCCCAGCCTGCTGAGCCCAGCCGTCAGGAACTGGGGGCCAGGCTCCTCCGTTTGCTAATGGTACCTTCCTCTTCTGCACCTGAGGTCACTGCATTAACACCCCTGGGCTGTTAATGAGATTAAGTGTTGAATGCAGGTAAAAGTGTGCACACATAGCAAATGCTCAAATAATTGGTAGCTTTAAAAAAATTGTTGCTATTATTGTTGTTCTGCCTTCTCAGACGTCTTTCTACAACTTATACATGTTAATCTTTTTAGTCTACCTTTATGTGGGAATACTTAGTATCCCTTTGATCATTTCAATAATTTTCTCTGGCCTCTTCTCGAATGCTCCTCTACCATTTCTGAGTGGAAGAGAGGGAGGGGAGCCGCAGTAAAGTGATGTGGGTGTACATGGCAAGGCTGTTTTTTCCCTCCATCGTTGGTTCAGTTTCAGGGAATCCATAAAACTGTCAGCTTGGTGAAGAGCTCATTGTTTTCAGCTAAAAGAACATTGATGTGTACATTCTCAGCAGTGAGGAGACCAAGATAGTGGAGGAATTTCCTCTTTCACACATTTTAAAGAAAAGCTGGCTTAGAGGAGAGAAACAATTTTAGGCTGGTATATTTGAAGGCAGCTGAAGGCTTCAGTTCCAAAAGGAACAACTGAAGTTGTTTACTGGCTGGATGTAGAAGGGCTCTCTCCCAACTCCTCGGGAACCACTGTTTGCCAGATAAAAGGATCGGGAAGTTAGAGGAACTTGCTTTGCTGACTGAGAAACCTGTAGCTGATGCAAGTCTGAAATCGAACTGCTGAGTTGACTAGCTTTCTCTTCACACGTCCCCTGAAGTCAGGACGTGGCCCTTCCCACTCTCCCACTAGTTACTTTGGGTTATTTTTTCTGAAGGCAGATGTAATTGTTAAATTTGCAGATGTTACATTTAGTTCTTCATGTTTTGGATACCTATCTTTTTTTTTTTAACAGAAAACAACTTTAATTAAATATTACACACATTTCCTTTTGTAGGCCCTTTTGGCCTAGTTATAATGTTTCTGTTTTGGGGAAAACTGGTAACTGAAGATCTTCCTTGACTTCTTCTCCGAGCTAATAGTCCAAGCATATAGCTCCGCAATATGACCCCACCAAGGGTCTAATAAAACTAGCTACACTTAGAAGAAGTCAAGGAACCTTTCCGGGACTTACAAAGAAATGTGGGATTTGGGTGAGAGCTGGGCCCGGCACTGTTTGAGGATAATGTAGGAGAAGTAAACTAGGAAACAGGGCTTCAGTTCCACAGGTGAACACCCACCTCTTACTGACTAATGTTTGTGTCCCCTGTAAATTCATCTGTTGAACTCCTAATCCCAAAGTGACGGTGTTAAGAAGTGAGCCGCTGTGAGGTGATTAGGTGATTAGTGACCGTGTAAAGGAGACCCCGTTGAGCTCTCTCGCCCCTTCTGCCATGTGGGCATACAGAGAGAGGCTGTCTGTGAACGAGGGAGCAGGCCCTTGCCAGACACCAATGTCAGCCAGCTCCTCCTTGATCTTGGACTTCCCAGCCTCCGGGACTGTGAGAAATAAATTTCTATTATTTATAAGTCACCCAGTTTATGGCATTTTTGTTATAGAAGCCTGAAGAAATGAGGCACCACTTTATAATAATAACTCACTTTGATTGAGTTATAAGACAGGTACTGTCCCAAGCACTTTACATGCATTTTTTTATTTGATTATCACAGTATTTCTATGAGGTAGGTATAATTATTGTTGACACTTATAGATGAGGAAACTGTGGCTCAGAGAATTTAAGGCACTTGCTGAGTTAATAGCTAGGAAAGTTAGAACTGAAAACTGGCCTGTGTAATTCTACATGTGTTCTGGACTCCTAGTATCTTTTCTCTTTTTTCACTTTACCTTTTTCACGTCCCCAGTTTCTTCTTAGGGAATAGCATGGTTCCACTATTCCGCTATTCAATAACTTGAATCTAGCACTGGGGAGTGGGTCATGTGATTAAGGCTAAGGCAATCAGTGCAGGGCCAACATGATTGGTCAGGAGTGGTTGTGTGACCCAAGACATTGCACTCAAAATGAATGGCAGGGTTTTGAGATACAGTTGTCTCTCATTTTTTTTTTTTTTTTGTATTTTGCACAAGTGTGAAATTATTTGTAATTATAGAAAAGATTGTTTGAGGGTGAGGTCAATATTCAGGGAGGTCAGAGGTGAAAGAACTGCAGAAGAATAGAAGTGAAGTGCTGAAAGTAGCATGAACCTCTGCAGCAAACCACAGCTAACACTGAACCCCGGGGCTGAGCAGTCACAGGGATCAATGAGGTCCCCATATGCATAAGCCTGATTGAGATGAGTCTCTCTTTCTCATAGACCAAACATTTTGAGTGATGTGATCACACTCTCCCAAGTGAATCTTCAGAATTTTGCCTGGACCCTAGCCTGGCAAAGCTTCCCTTGGGCACTGGCATTTCCTTTAAGAAAAAAAAGTAAACACAGAGAGGTTAAGTTTGCAAAGGGGAGAGGAGTATGTGGAGGTAGAGGAGGGTATAGAGGGGATAAAAGGTGATGAAAAAATAAAATAAAAAAGTAAAAGCATATTGAAATAAAATGTGTGTGTGTGTGTGTGTGTGTGTGTGTGTGTGTGTAGGCTTGAGGCCCCAGGTGACTGTGGCTGGCTGATTTCCCCAAGAGCTGTTTGGTTCTGGAGGCACAGTATAATCAATTTGACTTTTCAAATTGAACCAAATTGACTTTTTTGGGGGGGAGGATTTTATTGAAGAGAAATTTTTAGAATATTTGATATGATTTGAAACAGCAGCAAACTCTGTGTATGAGAAAATGAGAAGTAAATTAAGTTCTTTGTGCACACTCACCCCCCGCCCCCAGGTGCACACACAGACGTGCCCCTCAAGAGAGCTGCCTGGCGCTGCCCACCTCCTCTACACCTCCTGCTGCCCGGAGGCCAGTGCCAAATGTCACCCGAGTTACCGCGTTCTGCCGGAGTGTTCAAGAGGGATAATGATCTTGGCTGCCTCTCCTACCAGGACTGTTTGTATTTCAATGGGAGACTTGTAAACAGTAAGCGATTTTCTCAACTTGCAAGAGTGAAATTCGTGGTGAAATTTAAGGCCCATAACAGGACACTAAGGACAGATGTATCTTGGGCCAGAAAAACACTTTCTTTTTCTCTCAAATCATGCATTCTTAGTGCAACTGCTGTGTACTCAGTCATGGTTACAGTTGGCCCTGTATATGAAATTCCTTGTTTAACTCAAAAGTACAGCACCTGAAACTCTTTCACATACACCTACACATACACACGATGTTGAATTTTTAAGAAGAGGGCAAAGACTAGGAAGGAAAACAGCTGAGCTGCAGAAAAATAAGAGTGAGCTCATCCTCTCCTCCTCCCCTGCCGCCGGAAGGCTGTGACGCCATCCTGAGCTGTTGAACACAAGTGTGCCCAGAAGCCATGTGGGGCCTTTGCTAGAACAGGGGTGTTTACCAAGCAGGGAACAGGGGAATGAGTCTCATTAGAGGCAATGGTGAAGGATAAGAAACTCAGTTTGCGGTTTGAGCACGTAGTGGTCCCACCCTGAGTGTGGAGGTTTGCTCCTGAGCCCAGCACAGCCACAGCTGGTCTTTTCTCCTGAGCGTTTAGGAGCATTATTACACTACTGTAATTTTGCCTCTTTATAACCCAGAAAACCTCAGACTCTGATTTAAAGTTTTGATTCACCAGGCACATGGGCTGCTATACTAGGTAGTTTAATTATATATACAGAGAATAATTAATATCAATGAACATTTTTAAACTATGAATTTTCCCCCTCTTTAAATCTCGAATGTAATGGCACTTTGAGGAATAGAAAAGTCCTGAAGATGATCAAATGAACTCAGTCACCTGATTCTAGCCCCTTAGTGGGAGCCACAGGGCCAGACAGACACGTTGGGCACAGGGAGCCTGGAAGGAGAGGGGAGAGGAGAAGGACACAGGACGGCGAAGGGGCTGTGGAGCCCACCATTCAATTCCGCACATCCTGGGGGCAGGAGAAGATGGGGCTGCCATAACAGCCTTGGCAGCAGACAGGCACCCTGCTCATTACGGAAAGGCATTGTGGTGTTTCTGCATGGGCAAGATGTGTCCACTGGCCAACGTGCGGCTTTTTAATATTTCAGGGACAGCAAGCTCCGTGATGGCAGGGACAGTGTCTGTTTTGCTCCCTGGAGTGTGAGTGCAGGGCTTGGTTCGTTCTGTTCAGCAGTTATCCATCAGGGAGGACTGTGATGTCACTCGTTACAAGGTTTCATCGGCTTCCCCACCCTTGTGGTCCGAGGTGCGGGGCTGGCCCAGGGGAAGGATGGGCACGTGTCCCCAGCGCTTTGACTTTAGCAGTGCCACAGTCCTGCTCAATCTCTTAGCACTATGCATGCTGTGCCAGCCCCCGACCGTGTCTGGAGGAAATTGCATTATAACTCCAGGACTAGACTCAGATTCTTGGAATAACCACGAGAAATGGTTTGGGGCCAGCTTTCTTTATTCTGGGTAAGTGAGGAAGCACTCCTAAGGAGCTGAGAAGTAGGGCGTTTGGTGTGAGGTGGCCATCTGGCGAAGAATGATGGACCCTCAAGACTGCTCAGTGAATACTAGAAGGCTCCTTAGAAGCAGGTACTTTCTGGCACTTCATTACACGTGTGGAGCCTGGGGCACCTGGTGCTGGGGATGAAGTCAGCACTGGCACATCCAACAAGCTCCTTGAGGCTCCTTTTGCAGTTGACTGGCTCGTCTTGCACAGTAGGTTCAGGCTGAAGAGCCTGCAGTTCCCATGAGATGGATCGCTGTGCTTTTGAGCTGCTCAGGAACAAATGACGGTAGCATTGGCACAGGCCACCATGGGATTGTTTTTATTATACAGTTTCAGCAAAACCTGGTATTCTCCCTGAAAGGGACACAGGGAAAGTGTGAGGTGTGCAACCTATAGAATAATCAACTGTTTAGAAAATAGTTATCATGTACCTTCTATGTGCAGGCACTGCTGTAGACCCTGCAGATAAAGTAGAACAAGACAAACCAAATCTCACCCTGTGAAGCTCGTGGGCTCGCTGGGAGAGATGGACAATGCATGTGACCATTAGCTATGTATGTGGTACGTCACATGCCAATGTTACAGAGAGAATTCAAGCAGGAAGGGGGGAGGATGGGAGTGCTGGGCAGCACAGGGCAGGGTGGGATGGGACGAGTGCCAGCTGGCAATTTTAAGTGGGGTAGTCAAGGCAGGCCCCGCAGAGAAGGTGCAGGCCTACACCATGCTGCCCTGGGGGCTGGTGCTCCCATGTTCAGGAAGAGTGAAGAAGTCAGTGGGCCTTTAGGGACAGGGAACCACAGGAGCAGAGACCTGAGGAGAGGAGACCTGAGGAGAGGAGATGAGGCCATGGATGGCCTCACTGGCCATGGGGATGCTGGCTTTGACTCTGAAAGGGTTGGAGGCTGCCAGTGAGGACAGTGTTTTCCCCAGAGGAGGACCCCTGTGGCTGCCTCTAACAGAAGGCTGTGGGGAGAGAGGGTGGCAGCAGGAAGAGCATGTAGAAGGTGACTTCATGAGCCCGCGTGAGAGATGGTGAGCACTTGGAGCAGATGGTGGAGAGGGACTGGGGGCTGGATTCTGAATAGATTTTGAAAGAAGAGCTGACATGATTTTCTGAGGAAGCCCATGTGGGTGAGAGAGGAAGAGAGGGGTTAAGGGTGACTCCAAGGATTCTGGCCTGAGCAACTGGAAGGACAGGGTCATTTGCTGAGACAGAGAAGACTTCTGGGGGAGCTAAATTCTACTGCATGAAACCAACATGCGCTATCGCTGCCTTTTAGGGTTTCTTTCTGGAACAACACTCCACAGAGGAACCCTTTTGTCTGTGTGTCGTGGCTGCTGCACAGGCCTGTGTGGAGCTGCAGAAGGAGCCCAGGGGTTGACCACATCTGTTTTGTTCCCAGCAGAACCCTGCCCAGCCCCCACGGACCCACGTGGCATCTGTAGACTCTGCAGTCTGGAGAAGAAAAGCTCGGGGTGGGTGACTGTAGTGCTGCGCAGGGCAAAGAGCCCAAGAGGGAAGGATGCATAAGACTCCTGGCACATTTTTGATGTGCCTGTCACCAGAGAAAGGAAAGGAGTTTCATCTGTGTAAGACAGAGGGAAGGAGTACATCAGATGACTGGGTAGAAGTTGCATGAAAAGTAGTGTTTGTTAGAAGAAACGCTTCCTGGCAGTTAGCAGAGGTCCAGGAGCAAGCCAGTTCCCACCACTGAAAACTGTATTCAAGACACCCAGGTTCTGCTCAGGATGGTGATTAGGGTGTGAGGATTGATTGGAGCCCTCAGGCACCGTTTAACTGGAGGACTCTGTGATGTATAGGCTCCCGTGGGTCTGATTGCTCAAATATCAACCAGTTGAGATTTCAGAAGCAGTGTTAGTTAACCAAAGTGCTGTAAAAGTTAGAGAATAAATAATAAGTAAAGACCAGCTCAAATTTGCATCTGATTATGTTTCATTATCATCATTGTTATGATCATCTATTTTTCTTTTAACTTTCTCTATGCATTTAAGTACATACTCTGTACAATTATTGAAAACAAAATGAAGTTTTCATTATTGCTTTATAGACCTGAGCAAAGATATAGTATTTAAAGGAAGGATTTCTGGATTGTGAGTTATAAGATATACATACTCTGCTTTAACCAGCAAGAGTATTTAGGCAACTGGCCCAACTCTAGGCAGGTGGAAGGATATAGAGGACAGGAGGGGCAGAGCAGGGACAAGGGACAGAGGGCAGTGGCCTTTCTGCTGTTGAAATGAGCACTGAATTTGTGAGTTAGGGGTTTGTAGTTCTGGGCACTTATGTAGTTCAGGCTTTACCTATAAGTTGCCCATGAGCTTTCAGAAGCCCAAGGGTCTCAAATTCTAATTCAGAAAGCAGCAGTCATAGACAGATGTAGAGCTCTAGGCAGGACTGAAATCTGGGCCAAGGGACTGGTTCTGTTAAGTAAAGAATACCAAGACACTAAAGGTTGATTGCTGAGTGCAGTAGTTTTCAGCCAAGCAGGTACAGAATTAGCACAGATCCCCTCTCTGGGGGATTTGATGGGAGGAGGGGATCTTTTAAAACCAAAAAGCTTTGCACTATTTCTGTCCCATATTAGGAAGCAAAATCTTTGAGCCTTGCTGGCTGGCCTTCAGCCAGGGAAGCCTGAGCTGCCTGCAGCTGGTCCTGGGCCAACATGGGAGCCCATGTGGGGATTAAGGCCTCCAGCTACCTCTGCTGCCATGTGACAGGCTGCATGTGTCCTACTTGGGTGTCAGCTGGCTGGGGCAGGGTCAGGGCTGGGGAGATTTCTGCTTCCCAGGCCCAGGGCTCAGAATGGAAGAGGCAAGAGGATCAGGTAAAGAGAGTCTGTGGGTGGTTAAACACTCAGACCCAGATCAAGGAGATGTGACCACACCTTTGCCCTCATGTTGGCCAGCAATCTTGTTGAGCGCCATCGTTGGTTGAACGTAGGTACTGCACTCACCCAGGTGTCCTGGCATTATGCCAGGACAGAAAGCTCTTTACATTCCAGGTAAATTTTCCTATAAAGAGATTCTATGACTATAAGAAGTTATTTTCGCCCTCTATTTCACAGCAATTACTAAAGGGAACTGGTTTATTTTTTAAAAAATTCAATAATGCAAGATGGAAATCAATAGTTTGCAAATATTAAATCAGTCTTCAGCGTGTGTGTGTGTGTGTGTTTGTGTGTGTGTGTGTGTAGGGGTCAGAAACAAAATGAGGAAGGAAAAAATTCAAATAAAGATTGGAAGAAAAATCTATGTGGAGAATTTGGGCCCCACATTCTAGAAGTGATGAGAATTTGTTAAATTTATACTGAAAGTCTTGCAGACGAAAGTCTGGAGAAGAAGAACCCCAGAGGGGGATGGGAAGGTAGGACAATTCCCAGCTGCTAGAACAGCGCTGGTGGAAGTCCCAGATCATCTGGAGACATGATGGTTTTGACCTTAGGAGCCCGGAGGCTGGGACAGAAAGGAAACATACAGGAGAATTGAAATTAATTTAAACAAATTCCATATGGAGAAGGAGACCATTTTTCAGAGCCACATTCTAGTTTTGGAAGATAGAAAGGATGATGTTAAAAACAAAAAAATATAATTATTACATTTTTGTGATTATTTTTACACTGTCCCATAAGATTCTCTCACAAATAGCATGCTGAAAATGTATTGCTTATGTCAGAGGTTCTTGAGTCCATCCATCTATTAAAGTCACATTATTTTGAGAAAAATGGAATTAGAGGAAAATTCAGTTCTTGGTTGTGAGGCTCAAAAGTGAATGCTTAGGACATGGGCGCTTTATTTACTTGGTAGCAGCCCATGAATAATAGTGCAAGGATGGTAACTGGGGGACACTTAAGTCCTCATGGTTGTGTGTTTCTTCCTTTCTCTAAATGGCCAGCCTTACCAGCACGAATGACAGCAAGCCTGTGCCTGCCTCCCCAACGCCCGGCAGCTCCAGCCACACAGAGTCCCCAAAGACACAGCAGTCCTGCAGGGTCAGAATGCCTGCATCCCTCTAGCTGGGAGTATCTACCCAGAAGATCCCCCAGGGTCCGACATGACATAAAATGTTAAATACCAAGATGACAAGACAGATCAGTGTGTTAAACATTTGAAAGTGCCCACTTTGAGGTATCAACTTTATGGAGGAATGGTCTTCTTACTGATGGCCTATGAAGGCTTAACTGTTTAATTCCCTGTTCCTCCTCCTCCTCCCCTCCCTTCTTTCCCATCACTTCCACCTTCTTCTGCTTCAAGAAACTGCTCAATAGAATGATTAAGTAACAAAGCAAAATAGAAAACCAATACCTTACCTTGGGAATATCAAATCCAGGATTATTGACAGGGCCAGCATAATAAATCTGTTCTGAAAAATATACAAAACATACACAGTATTATTCAACCATTTAAAACAAAAATGATTTCTTATATTATCTCTGCTCACTGTGCCCTGGGGATCCAGTGATGAAGAAAAAGCTCTTTGTCCAAACACTGTTTATATTCTAATGAGGAGACTGACAATACATGAACAGAGAAGCAAGACAGTAGCTAGATGTAAAAAGTGCTCGAAGGAGACATGCAGTAATCTGAGTGAGTCAGATGGTGCGATGGTGAAGAGGCCAGACTGGAGCCAGACTGCGCAGGGTTAAATCCTGAGACCCTCTCTGATCGTCGTTTAACCTTGGACAGATATTGTCTTCTTGGACCCAGTTTTCTTGTTTTTAAGATGGTTATAATAATGACAATAACAGTGCTACTTCATCCACTTATGAAAAATAAAAGAATGAATCAAGGAAAACACTAATAACAATGTCTGGGAAGCACTCGATAAATGCTTGCTAAAAGTATAAACTGGGGAGATGCCATGTCTGACAGGATGGCTGGTCAGGGAAGGTACCTCTAAGGAGATGGCCTTGGAGCTAACTCTGAAGGAGGAGAATGAGGTGATTGTTTAAAGAACTGGGAAAAGAGAACTTCAGGGCACCAGAATAAGGACAAAGTCCCTAATATGGAAAAGAGTTTGGGAAGGAAGGACAGAAGGGAGATGAGTGTGCTGAAGCATAGTGAACAAAGGGGACTGTGTTGAGAAGAGATCGTGAACGTTGAGGAAAGACAGATATTTCAGGACCTTGAGGACATGGTAGGAGAAAGGTAGTAAAAATCCAAATGACAAATGTGTGGAGAGGCCTATAGTGAAGCCCATTCCATGGCTGAGATGAGTGATGGATCAGTGAAGCGTGGTGATACTGATGGAGAAAAATGAATGCAATCAGGACAGGATTTACTGATGAGTTGCACGTGGAGAGTGAGGGCAAGGGAAAGTTTTGGCTTGAGAATATGGGTAGATAGGGGTGCAACTTACTGAGACTGGGGAGCCTGCGGGGGAAGATGTCTGGGGGCAGGGACAGTGATAATAGAGCTCTATCTCTAGGTCCTTGAGAGCAGTTGGATACATGAATCTGGAATTTTAGGGAAGAGGTAAGGGAGAGAACTATGAATATTGGAGTCATTAACATGCATATGGTGATAAGGCCATGGAACAGTATGAAACTCCCCTCACCCCAGGAAAATAAAATTAATAGGTAGAAAATGGAAAAAGGCCAGAACCACTCCTTTCAGGAGTGGGGTAGAGGAGGAGAAGCCAGCCAGGTGACCAAGAAGGAGTGAGTGTGGAAAGGAGGGCAACCAGAGGTGGGATCTAAGAAGCCAGGAGATGAATGATCTTCAGAAAATGAGGGTATGATCACCTGTGCTGAATGATGCTGAGTTTGTTTAAGATAAGAAAAATGTGTAGTAGATTTGGCAACATGGATGTCATATAGTGACCATGATAAGATCATTGGAGAAGATAAGGACAAATGCCCAAATGGGGTGAGTTGAAGAGTGCTTTGGAGGTGAGGAAGTGAGACATTTTTTCTACAGAGAGAAGCAGAAAAAATGAGTGACAACTAGAGGAGGGTGTGGGGTTGAGTGGTTTGTTTCTTTATTTAAGGTGAGAGATACTTCACAGTGTTTGTCATTTGAAGGGAATGATCTTGTAAACAGAGAAAGTAAAGATGCAGAAAAGCATGAATAACTGAAGGAATGAAGTGTTTAAGGAGATGGGAGGGGAAGGATTTGCCTTTGAGAGGAGCACAATGATTGTTCCCACAGTTGTGGGAGAGAAAACAAGGCAGAACAGGTTCAGATGTAGATAGATTTGTAGATTGGCCAATGGACAAATGGCAGGATGCTGATCTGTTTAGTTCTGTTTTCTCAGTGAAGGTCATGGGCAAAGATGTAGGGGAAACTGAGGGTGAAGACTCTGATCTATTGAGGAGTAAGAAACTGGTATATAATAGTTATGGACAGTGGGGAAATATTTTACTTGAAAATCATAGTAGGCAGTATTGAGTGTTTTTTTGAGGTTTGTGGCCATGAATTTACAGATACTCTGGTTATCTCAGATGTGTATTTTCTCAGCAATATTCAGTAGCTTTGATGCAAAACTAGAGAGGGTAGATGGTTGGATCTGAGTTTTCCTGGACAAAAATGATAAGGAGAGAAAGGCAAGGCTGCTAGGAATAGATTCAGTGGAAAGCTTACAAAAACAGCATGGAATCTAAGGATGGTAAGGAAGAAAATGAAGGCAGGAGGAGGTGATTAATAGCAAAAACAGTGGTGGAATCAGTTGAATTTTCTAGTATTGCAGTTAAGGTCCTAGAATAGGCAGCTGGATGATATGGTGAAGCAGGAGGGCAGAAAGGCTTAGCAATGAGATTTCAGAAGTGGTGCATTCACTGGCGATGATAAGATGCAGAGTTGACATGGGAGGCAGTGGTTGAGGTGGAATGATGGAAATGGTTGTTGAAAGTAAGGTAGTTAAGGCACTGAGGCATCATGGTCCTGGGTGAGGCATCCATGTCAATATTGCAGTCAGTAGAAAGGATGGAATCTTGTCTGGCTCCTCAGATGGTGACTGCCTCCTCTGGGATTCCCCGGCACCATGCATGTAGTGTGCTAGAAACAGAGGCTAAAAGCACAGACTTTGGGGCCAGACTGTTGGGCTGAGCTTGAATCTTGACTCTTCTTCCTACTAACTGGGCAAGTCACCCAACATTTCTGTGCCTCAGTTTCCCTACCATAAAATATGGGTAATAATAACATCTACCTCACAGGGTTCTTATGAATATCAATGAGTGAGTTAATACATGTAAAACTTATAATAGCATCTGGTAAGCACCCAGTAAGTATTTGCCATTAAAATATTCATTCATCACTCCACACTACTGAGAGTCCATCTAATATATACCAGGCATTCTTCTAGGTGCTGGATACAGTAGTATATGAGAATATTATGTGAAACTTTTGAATCATTGACCACCCAGAATTATAATCATTGGTTACAGGATTGTTTCCTTCACTAGAATGGGCTTTCATGCTTTCTTGTTTGCATGGTTCCAAGTACGTTGCAGAGTCTAACACACAGCAGGGTGTAATGTATGGTTATTGAATGGGGTTATAGAATAAGGAGATCCAGAGTCAGGACACAGGTTTGCCAACCAATTTCATTCTTGCTCCTGCTATTGTGGTCCTCTACCAGTGGAAAGGGCCTGGGACTGGGATATGCTGACACCAGAGACTGGACTAGGGAATGAACCAACCTGGTGGTGAGGGTGGAGGGATGGTAGAGGAGGATGGAGCTGAATAAATGCTTATTGGTGGTAGTTACTGAGCTCTTTTAATGATACAGGGACTTCCTGCTTCACACAGCACCTATTCTGTAAATATATGGAGACAGTCCAAACTCCACATTAAAAGGAGTTTGGGGCCAGGGGCAGCATGGCTGGTGCATGAGCAGCTGTCCACATGGAACAATGCTAGGCATTTGAGGATAATCCTTTAAAAAGGCCTTCTCAGGTCAATCTAAGATGGAACTACTAGATGATCAATTGTTCTTGACACAGAGTTTGGCTTCTGTTAAATGCCCATGTCCTCAACATATCTATCCTTGCCTGCATGGTCAATTCCTGGTAACTTGCAAGGAAAACATGCAAACATGGTGTGTGTCAGATGGCTGATGTTCCTGTTTCATTGCACTGTGCATACTGGTCCATTCATTTTTAAAAATGAAATATATATTTGGTTGTGGATATAATGAGTTTTATTGGAAACTACTGTTCTGTATGATAGGGTGTTAGAAATAGAGACGTTAATATTCTGGGTCCTATCCTTAGGAATCTTCCAGTGCACCTGAAAAAGATGCAATAACTCAACTATACAGAAAGTTACTTGTGTGAGGAGTGTGTGGTGTGGGTGGGCAGTATATCCAACAAGTGCAAAGCATTCAGGGGGTCTCTCTGGGATTCATATGTACCTCTGGTGTGTTGCACAACAGGAGGGCATACCATTCACATTATAGTCCATGTGAGTGGTGCTCCCTGGAGTTGAGCAGTACAGTGCCCCATCTCCTAGTACATGATTTCATTTTAGAAAATTATCTCTTTCCCAGTGGATACTCTCTGACCCAAACCAGGAAAGTCTGAGCGGGGGGACAAAGAAACTTGGGACCAATCTATTCTGGCAAGACAGTTTGTTTCATTTTAACTCATCAGTCTCTAGAGCTGCCTACTTTCTGCCGGGCATAGCAGCCTTCTCAGTGACTCTTGTGACTTCTGTGACTCCTTTTGAGAAAATGCCTTTGCTCTTGTTGAATGGAGTAGATTTCTATCTCCTGCAACTCAGGGACTTTGACTGCTGTTGGCATGAACAGTATGGCTCAGGAGCAGAGTCCAAGGATGGGAACTGGGTGTTCCCATCCATGTCTGGTCTGACTGGATTCTCGTGGACATGCGTTACACACACCTTTAGTTTCTGCTTATTCTTCTAAGGTGGCATGGTACAAACGATTTGATCTCAGAAACACACAGACTTGGAATCAGGACCCACCTCTCCTACTCACTAGCTAAGTCTTGGTGGGCAATATGCTTAACCATCCTGTGACTCAGCTTCCTCACATGGCAAAGCAGAAATAGGAATGCCTATCCTGAAGGGCATTAAGAGGATTTAAGAACTTGTATGTGAACTCACTGAGCAGAATGGGGTCTCCAGTAGGGTAGAAACAAAAGTCATCAGTTGTATTAGTGTATTGTTCAGTGGATATGACATAGTAAAAACTCACTTGGCAGATGCTGAGGAACAGCCCGAGACTAGCTTTGGGAACCTTTATGCCAAGCCAATAAGCACAATTTGCTAAGAACTGTTTCTTTCTTTCTTTTTAAAAAAATTTCTCCTTAAGAAAAATGGATGAGTATGTGTCTTTGAAGAATACCATTGGGGTGATATTAAACATTTTACTGTGCTCACTTAATGTTCAAAGATGTGCTA